CCACCTCCCTCCGGTGCAGCAGGAACAGCACAGGGACAAGGACCAGGGATGCTCGGATGCTGTGGAAATGACTTGCTGCCTCTGCCAGACCCGATTTAGCCCGCACCAGCTGCTTCCCAGAGGTGCACATAACCCTGAAATGAGCTGCTATAAAATGACTCAGCCAAGGCAAACCCTTCCTCCTAACACCTCGTGCTGGTGTTTGACATATGACCCGGCAGAGGGAGATTGCTAACAATACCCACATTTTATATAGCACTTTGGGAAATCTCAGATGGCTTTTCACAGAAGTCTATTTGGAGCTCAAGGCCTCTGAGGATGTGTCAAGGACAGAGTTTTGGTACCCAGGGTTTATTGCCAGGAGGGATCTGCTAAACCACTCTAGCAAGAAAGTACTGATGGCTCTGGTTAATTTGCCATTGTTAGGATCCAGAGTAAACACCCCAGAGAAGATCAGGGAGCTCATCTCTCTCAGCCAGGGTTTCAGGTTAACCAGCACAGTTTAGATGCTAAAGCCCATTTTGTGATGCACCCCAGAGGCCGGCAGGAGCACAAGGTGGCTGTGGGAGCATCCCATGAAGAGCCAGGCCAGGAGCCCTGTCTGCTGATGGGATCATCAGCCTCTGACAGCTAAGGCGAGTGCTCGACCTTTGGGAAGTCCCAAGAGGGACCCAACAAGGCCCCGTGCACTGGGCACCACTCAGGAACAGCCCCGAGCGGTGCAGAGGAGCTCCTTGGGGGGAGCTGGTGCAAGCACTGCAGGCTTTGTGCCGGGCAGGTCACTGGGTGTGCGCTTCCTGGCATACAATTCCCAGATTAGCAGGAGCCCGGCTGCCAGCAGCTCCTCCGTGAATGAGCTGAGGTCAGTGGGTCCCAGTGCTCGGTGAGGATGGGGCATCTCCTGCCCTGCACCCAAGGGGAAGGGCAGGGACAGGACCCCCAGCCCCTCTCCTGCCTCTCTAAGACATTGTTTGTTCCCAAAGGGATGGAGTTAACCACCAGCCAAACCCATCTCACTGCTCCTTTCGCAGTGGGTGGGGAACAGAGGCTGAGACCTGGCTCTTCTTAGCCTAAAATGATGAATAAAAACCTTAAAAGCCACAGAGCGGAGAACATGAAAAAGCTGGAGGGTAAAAGAAGGGTTGGGAAAGGAGAAAAAGTAATTCAGCACTGAGCTCTTTAATGAGGGAAAGTGAATAATCAGAGGGCAAACTGAGAACAGTTTAGTCACGCCAAGGGCTTATTCTAAATACATAAATAAGTGAATTTCAAACCAAAGCCAGGCCGTGCCAGCCAGGGGGTGAGACTCACCGAGGACCAGGAAAGGAGAAAGCAACCAGGGAAACAGGGTATGTTCATTGAAGAGAAACACAGGGGAAGGAAGAGGAAAAAGCTGGAGCTGAGGAGCTCCCTGGGACAAGCCTAAGCCCAGCCAGCACCAGGATGGAGAGCAAAGAAGCAGCAGCGCTGATCTCTCCTTCAGGAGGGCTTCTGAATTGGCATCTGAATGATGCTTATGAATTGGCATCTGAATGATGCTTATGAATTGGCATCTGTTTGCAGACATCCCCCTCAGAGGCTGAAAGGAGCCACTGTGCTGCTCTCGGGACCAACCCCATGCCCTGAGCCTCGTGGCAGATGGGTTCACCCAGAGCAGCCTCCCCACTGAACCCTGGTGCTTTGCTCAGTGTCCCTGCACGCACCCAGCAGTGTGAGAGCCCTGCTCAAGCAAACAGGACGGTGAATTCCTGGCGTGAGACAAAGAACCTGCCTCCACACTCCCTTTTCCAATGCTGTTTGGGAGCTTCCCACCCCCCCCTGCTGCAGCTACTGGAGACAAGACAAGGAGGAAGGAGATGGGATGCTGTGGAGGGACCCCAGGCACATGCTCCTGGTGGGCAGCGAGGGTGAGCAGCCCCATCCCCACCGCCCAGACGTGCTCTTCCTGTGCATGGAGTGAAGGAAGTGGCTTTTTCCGCTCCCGTGCCTGTCCCTGCCTTCGGGAGCAGCGCGCTGGTGCTCAGCTGCCCTCGTCCAGCACCGCAGCAGTGATAACCAGCACGGATTCGCCTCCGCAGGGCCCGGCTCGGAAACTGCTCGTTTCCTCTGCACTGCCTGGTGCTGCCAGAGCCCTCGTCAGCCACGATTTGAGAGGCATTGACAAGTACAGCGCTGACCCATGAGGTGGCTTGGAGGGGAGCAGCCCTTTGCAGGAAAGGGGAAACTGAGGCAGGGAGCGCAGAGCCAGTCACCTCAAAGGGGAGACTTAAAACCAAGCCCATTTAATAACTAACCTCAACTGAAACGTGCTGGCTTTTATCCTGCAGAAGCCACCAGCTTTTCTATAGCAATTTATGGACCTGTCATGGGGCAATTTTAAGTGTATGGGCCCACGTGCCTTCCCTGTGGCCCCACAACGGCTTGGTGGAGGCAGGAATACAGCTGTGGCCACAGTGAACCATGGCGGCACATGACGCCACGAGTGATGCCCCATGTCAGTGTTCCAATAGCATTTTCCCCTTCTATACTGACCTCAGCCTTTTCCAGGGGTTCCTGTTCCACTTGCTCACAGCTTCTCCCAGAGCATTCAATGGTCTCGCCTGCTCTGTCTTCAGAAAACCTCAGAGAAAGAAATACATCAGAGAGACCTCCTGAGTCCTACAGCAAACTGGAATAACACCCTCAACGTGTCCTCACAGCCAGGAACTGGCCCCAAATGCTGACTGCTTGGCCGCATCACCACAGGGCCTTACAAGCAGGCTGTCCCAAGCTTGCTGGGGACAAGGGTGTAAAGCAGGAAGGTCTGGGAGTCCCTGCCCTCCTCTGGAAGCCCACAATGACATCAGCCCCCCGTAGAGATTTATCAGCCCTGTGATGGACACACACAGACACGCATACACCCCGCCTCCATATTCATACAGCTGGTTATCTGAAGGTGTGTTTGTAAGTTTTGTCCTGAATAGATCGTAACAACAGCTCTTCCAGTGCCTGGAAAACACAAGCTGGCTTACACCGGCTTCTCTGGCCACAGCAAACAGACGCTTCAACATCTAACATGCTCCAATAGCTGCTATAGGAACAAGGCCTGGATTTCTTGGGGTCTGGGGTTATTTTTAGTTAATTTGATAAATCTGGTGCGTGCAAGAAGCGCTTTGCCTGAAGCCTCTTATTCTCTGCTCATCCAGAGCCCAGAGAGAGCACAGCCAGGATAAACAGCATGAAGACCCTGTGGTCTTGGCACGGCAGCTGAGCCCTGTAGGGAGCTGGGACACCCGGCTCCAACCTCATCCCTGGCTGCTTGGCACTGCCACCACCTTTATCCAACCGGGAAAGGGGCCTCGCCTGCAGAGAGGAACCAGGAGGAGACCCTGTGGATAACATCCGGTGAACAGCAGCGGGTTTGCTGCTCCTTTCCCAGCTGCGATTGCTTTCCACACCCCAGCATCCCTGGAGGGCCACCACCGCGGCTGAGCTGGGTGCCGCGGAGCTGGACCGGCTCCCTCCTACCGGGGAGCAGCCTCACTCTTGAGTCGCATCCTCCGGACAGGGCCGGCCCGGCGCCGTTGGAGGTCGGACAGTGCCACCTGGTGCTCCGAGGAGCCGCCGCTCCGCCAAGGGCGGAGGGATGCGGCGGAGCTCCCCGCTCAGCTCCCGAGCAGCGCCGCACCGGGGGCAGGACGCGAGGAGCGGGGGTATCACCGGTGGCTCTGTGCTTCACCACGCGTCCCGGGGCATGAGGCTGCAGCAGGGAAAGAGAACAAGGTTGTGTCAGTGCTGGCAAAATGTCTCTGTACAGCAGCTTCGCGCTGATGCGATGCTAACTCCAGCAGCCGATCTTGACAAACCCTCTCCCTCTTCTTCCCCCCTGCCCCTGCCATGTCAATTCATCATCCAGGGATCTCGGAGCACTTCAAGCAATTGGGCAGGTGCCTCTTGACGCAGACGGGGAACTGAGGAAAACAAGGAAAAAAGGTTGTTTCAGGGGGATACAAACCCCAGCAGAGCTCCCACACCCAAAGCATTAATATGCCTCCTGTATTTTCCAGGCAGCAGCAGCAGTGGTAGCATGGCTTTTCTGTACAGCAAGGAAATCTATTAAAGAAACATCTTTATAACAGCTTCAGGCACCTCCCCAAGCCTATGGGCAAGCACTGCCCTGGAGTCTGCTTTGCTGCCTGGAACAAGAGATTGACCATATCTCAAAGAGGTGCTTTAATGCTCCGCACCCCCACGGAGAGGGGTCTGCTCTGTCCTGGATGGATGTGCTGCACCTTGCACAGCCTGCATTCCAGCACAGCAGCTTTATTAAACCACAGCCCTTCTGCCACCCCAGCTGTTTCCTGCAGCTCCACTCAGTCTACCTTCTTCAGGGATTCTCAGAGCCCTGACCAAGCAGCTGGAGTCTGTGCTCTGCTGCGGGTGTGTTTCTGTGCTGCAAACCTGCCCTGTCCACATTGTCTGGATTGGTGATGCCCATCCTGCTCCATCCATGGCCTCCTCTGGCTCACTCATGCTGTCTTGAAGATACCTGGATAAATGACCAGGATCCCTGACCTGATTCTCAGAGACCTTAGAGCAGCTCCCAGTGTCTAAAAGGGCTACAAGAGACCTGGAGAGGGGCTTTGGAGAAGGGCCTGTAGGGACAGGCCAAGGGGAATGGCTTTAACCTGCCAGAGGGGAGACTGAGCTGGGCTCTTAGGCAGAAGCTCTTCCCTGTGAGGGTGCTGAGGCGCTGGCACAGGGTGCCCAGAGAAGCTGTGGCTGCCCCATCCCTGGCAGTGTTCAAGGCCAGGTTGGACACAGGGGCTTGGAGCAAGCTGCTCTAGTGGAAGGGGCCCCTACCCATGGCAGGGGTTGGAGCTGGAGGAGCTTTAAGATCCCATCAACCCGAACCATTCCATGGACCACGGCAAACCAGGTACCTGGGTGCGGTTGGATGGGGAAGGATGGAAGGGATCATGTCCGTGCCCGCAGCGCGCTCCAGCCGGGGAAGGCGCCTGTAGAGGGAGCCTGAGCCCGCCTGACTCCTCCGGCGTCAATGGTCCGGGGCTGGGTTTCGGGGCTGGTTTCTTTCTCTCTCCTCCTACCCGGCCCTGTTCGCTTCCTTCCCCCGCGACCGCGCTCGGAGCAGGCAGGAAGGGAGGCGGCGGGATGGGGCCGCTGCCCGCAGGGATGCGTTAGTGCCCGGACACCCCAGCCTGGGCCCCGCCGGGACGCGGTGAGTACCGGGACACCCCCCCCGGGGATGGGTTATCCCTTCCCACCGGGCCCGGCCGCCTCTGCGCTGACCTGGGGGAGGGATGCGGGAGCCCCGGCAAGGCGAGAGGGGGGGAACAGAGCCGCGGGGCCTCATCCCGCACCGCGCCGGGAAGGGGGATAAAACATCCCAGGGAGCAGCAGCCCGCGGGTGCCAGGGCTGGAAGCGCTCCCCGGAGCTGATCGCTGCCCCAAAAGAGAGAATATCGCTTCTTTTAGTGCTATTTCCCCAGCGCGGGGCGGGGGGGGCTGCCCTTGCGAGGCCGCTGCTGTGCTGGCCACGGCAGCATCCCCATGCTCGGGCTGAGGGGCTCGGTGTGGCCGTGGCTGTCCCGATGCGTCCCACAGCGCTCGGTGGGAAGCGGTGTGCCAGAGCGAGGACCAGGGTGACGGTGACCAAGGTCCGACTCGCCCCAATCTGTGCTGCGGCGCCGGGCACGGCACGTGTGGGTTTGTGGGCTTGGTTTAACGCTAAAGTGGGCAAACAGTGGGAAAACCGGGCACACTAACCTAGGCCAGGCGGGGAGGGCTCTCCCTGGTCCATGCAGGGATGGCATCAGGGCACAGGAATCCTACAGGATCCCTGCTCTGGGGAGGGCGATCCCAGGCACGCCACGTGATGGAATCCCTCCCATGCAGGGGCCCAAGGCCAGACCTGCAAAATGCTCGTCCCAAAGGATGCTCCACGCATTTCCTGGAGCCGGATCCTCATAATTTGTCAGGGGGTGACTTCAGAGCCCCATAGCCAGGCTTATTCATAGGGTTCTGGCTGCTCCCTCAGCATGAAGGTCTGCCTCCTGCTCTAGGCCAGTCCCACCATTCTTCCTGCACCCAGGGCTCAGGCTCTTTCACTTGCAGAAGCATTAGATTACTGAGTGCGTCCTAAGGACACCCATGAAACGTGTCAGAGACCTTTAAGGAAAGGAGATGAGAATGAAACGAGAACCAGCTGAGGCAAAGGTCTTCTTTTTTATTAGGGAAGCCTGGCCCGTTCCAGGAAGGCTGGCTCTTTGCATGGCCTGTACTCATTAATAAAGATAAGACTCCTGTGCCCATCTTGGAGGTGTTGCCGATTCCACCTCCTAGGTGCTTTCTGCTGCTTTTAACCCTTTGCAGCCTCCCGCGAGAGCAGAAGGTCAGAGGGGAGCTGGATCTTCCAGGAGCTGCTGAGAGTTAGGCCCTGCTCCCCCTAAGCTGCAGCTCCCCAAACCCTCTGTGAGCCTTGTCCCAAGTCCTGGAGAGCCTTCACTTTCTGCAGCCTTGGGCTGTCTTTAAGTGTGGCTGCCACATCCTGCTCCACACCCTCCCCTGCTCTCTTCCAGCATCATCTCCTCATAACAAAGGGGGAATAGGACAAACTTTAGAATCATGGAATCCTTTAGGTTGGAAAAGACCTTCCTTTAATAAAGATCGAGTCTTTAACCATTAACTGAACATTGCCGAGACCACCACTAAACCCTGTGCCGTGGCTATGCATGTTTTAAATCCCTCCACCACTGCTCTGGGCATCCTGTTCCAGTGCTTGACAGCTCTTTGGGTGAAGATGTTTTTCCAAAGGGGCGTTGGGCTGGAAAGCAGGAGGAATGTGGGCAGCAGCACTCTTGGTACTAGAGAGGGTGGTCCTAAGTGCTTGGCCCCCCCAGCAGAGCCTGGCAGTGGGCATTCACTTCGCTTGCAGGAGTGGGAGTTTAGGGGCTCTCAGGGAGCAGCAGCACAGCACTGGGACATAGCTGCTGGTCCCAGCTGTGCGGGTGTGCAAAGGGGCTGTGGGATCATAGCACCATAGAATAGTTCGGGTTGGAAAGGACCTTAAGATTATCCAGTTCCAACCCCCCTGCCATGGGCAGGGACACCTCACACTAAACCATCTCACCCAAGGCTTCGTCCAACTTGGCCTTGAACACTGTCAGGGATGGAGCATTCACAACTTCCCTGGGCAACCCATTCCAGTGCCTCATCACCCTAACAGGAAAGAATTCCCTCCTTATGTCCAATCTAAACTTCTGTTTGTTTGAACCCATCACCCCTTGTCCTGTCAGTGCAGTCCCTAATGAAGAGTCCCTCCCCAGCATCCCTATAGGCCCCCTTCAGATGCTGGAAAGCTGCTCTGAGGTCTCCACGCAGCTTCTCTTCTCCAGGCTGAACAGCCCCAACTTTCTCAGCCTGTCTTCCTGTATTGCAAGAGCAGAAAGCGCTGCAGGGCGCGTGAAGGAAACCGAAAATGAAAGTTCCTTGCACATGACAGCCGCAGTTGAACCTGCTGTTTCCGAAGGGCTCTCAAGCAGCGGTGTGCAGGAGCCGTGAGGCAGTCACTGCTGCTGCACCGGGCTCTGCTCACCACGCTCCCTTTGTACATCAGGAATTCCCTGTTAGAGCCGGGCTCATGTGAAGCGTGGCTGGTACGGACCCTACTGCAACAGCTCCAGAGGCAGCCGAGCTCCTTGGCTGGCCCTGTCCGCATCCTCGCCAGCACTGAGCACAGCCTCCGGGGAGGACGGGGCTTTGGTTACCCACAAACACGACCCCGAGCGCGGCCGTGCCTCCCCTCGCGAGGCACCACGGCGGGCTGCGGATGGAGCCTTGCCGAGTGCCCGAGGAGGGCTGGGGATAGCAGGAGGCAGCGCGGGAGGGTTTCCTCTGTGGAGGAGGGGATGGAGGCACATGCATCCGCTCAGAGCACTCGCTGAGCTGCCTCCACCGCGTCCCAGTGCCGAGCGGAGCAAGGAGAGGAGCAGCTCTGAGCGCGGGGCTGGGTGAGTGGGAGCCAGCCTCGTCCTGGCTTTACTCTCAACTGACGACCCTCGTCGGGGATGGGGATGGTTGAGGTTGGGGAGGAAAAGGGGATTCCTGTCCTCGGAGGGATGTAGGAAAAAAGCAGCGTCTCCATCTGTGCGTGGCTGCGGCTGGGGCTCCCTGGATGCAGCTACTCAAATACACGGTGGCCTTCCACAAAGCGATGAGCTTTACGCTTCCAGGCCCCCTTCCCATCTTGGCTGCCGGTCGTACTTCCCCAGTGCTCAATCTCTGTTCCCTGATGATGATCTTCAGTGTGAGGTTGTAAGTACAGACCATGTGCTGCACCCCTAACTCTGGCGCAGGTGGTTATTTATCCATAACCAGCACTGCTTTTGGTTTTGCCTGGGATACAGTTGAGATTCCAGGGTCTCAACGTGTCTTCGTGACTTTAGATCTGGTGCGAATCAGAACCCCCCACCGGTTCAGCCTGGGAGCAGCCTGAACAAGTACTGGCATGCTGCGAGCTGCAGTGATCTCTTCCGCCCTGACCGCAGCTGCGGGGCCCCACTTCCTCCTCTCTCAAAAGCAGGGGTGAGGACAGTGTGATGAACTGCATCGGCAGGTCTGGGCTTAGGGTACCTGGGAAGTTCGGGGGCAACGTGAGCTGTGCATGTGGTTCTTGTTATTCTGAGAGGAGCTCAGAGTCAGAACATAGAGAACAGGTGGGACTGGAGCCTCTGGATGTAGGAAAACCGGAGCTCATCCCTTGTGGAGGTTTGTTATGGCAGGTCGCTGTGGCCATGCATTGGTTTGCTGCTGCTGCGCTCGAGCTGTCGTAGCTGCATTCAGGCAGCAGCAAAGCACCCAGGGTCAGCTCTAGCACCTTCTCCTGGTGGAGACAGGGAGCCGAGGAGCCCTTTGTGCTGGGATCTTTGCTTTCATCCCATCCTGAAGCTGCTGCTGTGGTCCAGGCTGAGCAAGGGCCCATGGCACTTGCTGAGCGGGCCAGCAGGTTTCCAGAGAGGATGAGGAGGTGAAGTGGGGCAGGGAGCTGGGTGACTTTCCTCATCTGGCGTGTGACTGTCTGCAAACACGTTAGTAAGGAGAGTCAGGAAGAGAGGAGAAATCCAGCCAAGGGGCCTGGTGTGGGAGGAGCCAGGTTGCTGGCAGATAAAAGCGGGGACCATTGCTCCTCCAAGCACTTGCCTATGCCAAGGGGCAAGTATGTTATGTGTGAGCCCAGTGGGCAGGCATGAGGGAGCCAGGGGCCGTGCTGGCTGCTCATCACCCGGGTCACTTACTGTCTGTCATCATTGTTCCAGGTAAAGCCAAGACACCCGAGCATCTCTGCAATGGCCTCAGGGAATGATGGTGACCCGCTGAGGGACTGGGGGCGGAGGGGAAGCAACAGGCAGAGGCCGTCACAGGAGCTCAACTCAGGTAAAAAGGTTGCTGTGATTCCCTTCCCCTGCAGTGTTTCTTTGGAAAGATGGGGGTTTTCATACTGCCAGGGCCCTTTGCAAGACCGAGGTACCACATCAGCTCCGTAAAGCTATGCTGGACTGAACTGGGAGAGCACATTCTCAGTGCTTGCAGAAGATGCTTGGCATTGGATCAGCGTGGTGGGCAGCAAGAGGGGCTTGAAAGGCACCGAGCAAATAGGGCTCAGGGAGCTGTGGGGCTGGTGCCTGGAGTCGTTCACTTCCCTTCCCTAAGGGAAAGGTGCTGGGTGTTGAAAACACAGCAGGAAAAACTCCTGCTCGTGTAGCTGGGTTCAGTGGTGCCGCAGGGTGGAATCGGGTCGCTGGGTGCCCTGGCAGAGCAGTGATGAACAGTTACAGCCCACCACCAGCAGCAGCTCAGGCCATCACGTGTGTGCAGAGCCCAGCAGACTGTGTAATTGCGTCTCCCAGCAATGGGTGAAACCGGGATCGGGGCCGAAAGGATGCCAGGAAAAACCTCAGCTCCCATTTCAGCTCCAAGTGCTAAAATGCCGCTGCACAGAGCTGCTGGACGCGGGTGACTTCTTAACCTGTTCTGCAGGTGGACTTGTAAATAAGGCTGAGTCACTGCAGTCTGTCAATAGTGGAGATTAGACGCTATCCCTGGCTGTTATGTATCTGAGCTCAGATCCAGCTCAGAGCTGGTTTATGGCCCTGATAATGTTATTTAGACTCTGGCACTGCCTGGACTCCTCTCCATCTCACAGTTTCGTTCGTGCTAGATCCTGCACGAGCACACTGGACACAAAAATACCCCTTTCCTTCCACGCCAGGGGCTGCGAGGAATGGAAATAAATAGAGCCGCTGTTTACGTATGGTGATTTCCTGTTGAGGCCAATGAGATGCTGATGTGAAAACCAGTGAGAGGATCAGGCCTGAGCTCTAACCACACTGGTTTACAGTCACACTTCCTGTGCGCTTGCAACACTTACTGGAAGTACGGGCATCCCGCTGCTTCCCGAAAGTCAGGTGCTCCGTCTGGAATCTGGAGGTGGGATCTCTGCACACCTCTTAGGCCAGAGCCTTATGGACTCCATTGAGAGCAGAAACGTGCAGCTTCCACCAACACGTGCCATGGGGTTATGGGGTGGAAGAAGGCTTTTGTCAACAGGCATTAACCTGGCTTGCACTTAGGGCTCGCTTGCTCCCTTTGTTTATCCTTGGGTGCAGGAGTGCAGAGCTCAAGGATCTGCTTGAGCATCGTTCTGAGCCCTTGTCCTACCAGCCAGTGCTTAGGGCATGGGCAAGGTGCTGCTGTTTCTGTCTAGGCTTTGGTGGTTTTAGGGCATTGTGGACAAAGGCAGGAGCCACCCTGATGCGCAGTGTGCAGGGCCAGGTTACTGGGCCTCTGTCATCTATGTGTGTTAGTACTCATGTAAGGTACCTAGAGAGGCGTGAGGTTTGGTCCTTGGTTGTTTGTCATAGCTCTGGACCTGGTATTGCATGTGAAGCAAGTCCTCACTGATGAAGAGTCACTGAGGGACATTAGTTCTGCATCTGTGAGCATCAACGTGTCTTCATCACCAGAACGACCTGCAGAATGAGTAGGAAAAACATGAGCTGCCTGTTTAAGCCTGGATTCTCGTACATTCTCGTACATTCTGTAGAGCAACCACAGTCAGTCAAACATACTTCTGTCTGGTGCCCAGCAGATCCTATCTCCAGCACAGGCACAGAGCATTGGACTTCCCACTGAACTGCATCACCATATACCTGGTTTCCCAGGGCTGCGCTGGATAACAACGCTATAGAATCACCTCATGGCTCCTTTGTTCTGGCCTCCAAAGGCCCCCCCAAAAGCTCTTTCATAAAACACCTGATGGGGCAGAGGGAGCTCGATCTCCAGGTTTGAGGTGCCCATCCCTCCGAGCATCCGCTGGATGCAGGTCAGTGGATGCGCACGCGTGGGACGTGGCTCAGCTTGGGCAGCAAAGTGCCGGAGCAACACCACGCACCTCTGCTCTCAGGTGTGAGCTGTGCAGGACTGTGCCTGTGTGCAGCGTGAGGCTGATCAGCCTCTGGTGCTGATGGCATCGCTGTTGACAGGCAAGCGGTTTCACAGGGGTGGAAGGGAACCCAAATCCACTAACACAGACAGAGCTCATCCCGCACTTGAATTGCAACTGCAGGAGGTGGAGTGGAGCTTCCCCTCAAGGCGGAAATCTCCAGAGCCTGTTCTTGGTTCCCTGGAGCTGTTTTCTCCCTTTGGAGCCTGTTGCTGCTTCCAGGCTTGATGTCTCCCTCTGTGCAAACAGATGCACCTCTCGGCGCAGTTACTGCCTGTCTCCTGAGCTCGAAAGGGATGCTGCCAGGTTGCATCTGTCATTATTACAGTCTCTAGCAGGGCTATTCAGTTGTAACGAGGTCTGATGGATAACTTTGGTGAGAGCTGCCAGGTTTTACTGCAACGCAGCTGCTCCCCGGGACATGGGAATGGTGAGAAGCAAAGGATCTTGCACAGGAGTGCAGATGCTGCATGTTGGAGACTGGCTGGGGTCCAGTCAGTGCTATGGGTCCAGGCAGGAGCTCTTGGGGTGGGTCAGGTCTACATGCTGACAGTGGGGACAGCGGCATCACTGCTCCATGGGGCAGGAACAGGGCAGGTTGTCCCTTACACAGCAGCTTGTGAGCCCCTAACACAGCCCTGAGGGTCCCCCAGGGAGAGCCAAGATCCCAGAGGAGCTCCAGACTGCTCCCCCTCCTTCCACTGCTGGTACTGGGAGTCCCCAGGGCAAGTTTTGGTCCAGATCCTCTTCCTTTGAGTGGGAGAGACAGAGCCCCAGTGGGTGCTGGGGGGGGGGAGGTCAAAGATGCGTTCTCTTGTCCCTGTGATACTAAAAGCAGTGCCTGAGGTAATCAAAGCAGGGGGTTTTTGGTACCCTCATTTCCTCTTTGTTCTCACAGTGTTTGCACGGCCTCTCACTGAAACTGTGACTCAGTCGGTTTCGTTTCTGGCTCTCGGTGCCGTCACCGGCTCCAGTCTGAGGTGGGATTTATTTACCCCCAAATAAACCCATGCCTGCAAAACAAAAACCATCTCCTGAAAACACCGGGGCTCCTCGATCCCCCTCACCTTTATTTACCCAACCTGAACTCCCTGTAACCTGAGTCTCGGCACCACAGCTCCGGTCCTCTCCCTTCCCCGCACCCCATCCGGGGCTGGGCCCATCCCTCCCTGGAGCCACGTGGATGTGAGCAGCCAGGAAAACCCTGCCTTGAGCAGTGTGGCACATTCTGGGATACAGGGGTTTATTGGGCAGCATCACCAGGACAGCTGTGTCCTCACATCCCAGCCATAGGACGTGGCTCGGGCAGGAGCATCTCTGCATTGGAAATGCAATTCCCAGTGGCCAGAGAATGGCCTGGCCAGTCTGGTGGGTGGATGCAGTGGGATGGTGGTCACATACCTGGGCTTTGCACCTCATATAGTGCCTGTGGATCTCTGTCCTGCATGGTGATACAGCCAAAGGAGCGGGGATCTGATCCCTCCACACCATTTCTGTCCGCTGCAAGTTTTGCCTCCTGAAAGAGAACCAGGGGAGAGCCGTGCGACGCCGGCTGTTTGGGAACCAGTGCTCTAACCCAGATTGCTTCCAGCCAGCTGAAAGTGAGCTCTAATCAAAGACATCCCGTGACAGAGCGGGTGCTTTCCCCAGGAGCAATGCAACGCCTGTGATAAGGTATCGGCCACTGCTGGGATGCAGCTTGAGGCGTTATCACCTGGCTGTTCATCTGCTCTCAAGCACAGGATGGGGAGTCACGTCCCTGGGCAAGAGTTTATGGGTTATTCAGAAGCTCTTCTCCTTTCTGTTCCTGCCAGCAGCCCAAGCAGAAGTTCAAACCCTGCCCTGGCATCGCTGCTGCTGGGAATGTGAGACTGAATCAGCAAGGAGTTACAGTAAAACAACCCGTTTAGCTTTGCTCCCCGCATCACTGCTGGCGCCGTGCAAGGGCTCGGTCATTGGTGACACTGAAAAACAAGTTTGTGTGCTGAGATGGGCAGCACTAAGCTGAGCTTGGCCTCCAGTTTGGGTTTGGATCTGAGATTCCTGAACTGGTTTGTGCTGAGCAGTGCCCTTATCGAGAGGTAAAAGCACCCTGGCAAGCACAAGCACTTGAACATCTGGTTTGTGTGACAGTTCTGTAGCTGTCTCCTGCCAGAAATGCATTCCAAAGGTGGGCTTGTGCCCCCAAGAACAACAGCTGGCTGCAGAACTGGTTTTCTGAGAACTAAGTTTTGTTGGATTCTCTTTGTGTCACTCCAAAAGGCCAATGTTAATGCAAAGAGCACAAGTTTAGGCTGAAAATAAGGGAATGGTCTCTTTCCAGCTTGGGAAAAGGAGGGAGACGAGCTTCTCCCTTGACTTCTTTGGAGGTTGGAACAAGATGATCTTGAGGTGCTTTCCAACCCTAACCCGATTCTCCTCTTGTCTCCCAGAGGACCAGGTGGCTGAGGAGACGGAGGAGGTGTTCCGGAGCTATGCCTACTACCGCTACGAGCAGGAGAGAGAGGAGCGAGGGGAAGAGGTGCCCGTGGACCAGGAGATCATGGACATCGAGGAGGAGCTGGGCAGGTAAAACTGATCCCAACCATGTGCCCATCCTTTAACCCCCCCCCAGCCCCGGCCTCGCTGACCTGTGTTCCCCTGGGCAGCATCGGGAGCCAGGTGGGACAGCGCTTGGCCATCATAGGCGACGACATCAACAAGCGGTACGACGCGGAGTTCCGCTGCCTGCTGAAGTCCCTGCAGCCCACCAAGGAGAACGCCTACGAGTGCTTCACCCGAATAGCCTCCAGGTAAGGCCCCCGGCTCCCTCAGCCCCGGGCTGGGCACCTCCTCCCGGAGACAAGCAGGAAGGGAAGGTCAGACGGATGCAGTGCAGGCAGTGAGAGCCTTGTGCTGTGCTCTGCACCCTGTCCATTCGAGCCTTGCCCGCTGTGCCCGGGCTGAGCTCCCAACCCATGAGGGTTCCTGTGGTTCCTGCCTCTCTGCTCCTCCTCCTGTGCACCGTTTGGACAGTCCTCACCTGGCCATCGTCTGACACAGTCTGGGGGATGTGCCTGGGATGCACAGCCCATGCATCAGTAGCCAAGTGAATGGCCCGGCTCCCCTGCAGGGAGGGACCTGCCCTGGACCAAGGCAGACCCACCGGTGCTCCCATTGCCTCTTGCAGCCCTGAGCCAGGCCCGATGAGGCACAGAGCAAAGGCAGCTGCAGGCTGCGGGCACAGGCAGGTACTCGCTGCCCTTGGTATGGTCCACACGGAGCACGATTGGACTCACTCGGGATGAGGGATGCTCCACAGGCTCCGCAGCCGCCCTGCACAGGTGATGCTCACCCACCTCACTCAAACACAGCACAGGCAAAGACCTGCACAATTATTGCCTTGGTTGCCTGAGGTACAGCCTTGGACCGAGGTGGCCATCAAGGGGTTCCCTACACCCCTGTCTCTGTAGGGAAGACAAGACACAGCACATTAAACCATGTGCCCAGGGTCACACAGACCAAACCGCCTCTGCCAGAGCTAGGGTTGGCGCTGGGCTCTCTGGGTTCCCAGGTCCTCTGGCACAGCCCCATCCCTGCGCACCCTTGTGTTTGTGTCTAACTGCCTCTCTCTGTCCTCTTCCTGCTCCCTGTCCTTGGGAAGCCGCTGCTGCTCTCACCGCTTTGCCAGCCTGAGGCGGTTAAGGCACCGCAAACAGGTAAATTACCCCTGGGAATTAACCTCTGTCCCTCTCTGTGCTTCTCTTGTCCCCTCCGGGCTCCGGCTCCCCTCTCTGCCACCTGCACGTGGCATCTCCACACCAAGGCTCTGCAGAGATGGTTCCCTTTGGCTGTGCAGACGAGGACAGGGCACCACGTTAACACACAGGGCCTGAGCCTACTCCTTCTGTTCCGTTTGTTTTCCTTCTTGCTTGACTTGCTGGAAACCAGGAAACACGCCTGCAAAAACTGGTCCAGATAACTCAGTGCCCAACCTGCCCGCAGCAATGCATCTGTGCCCGCCACAACCAAACCTGCATCAGGAGCAGGCACATTTCGGAGCCCCCCCCCCCCCCAGCCCTTGAGATAATCAGTCTAAGGAAAGGTCAGGCTTTGGTCTTGGAGGAGTTTGAGGAGGAAAAGGGAAAGTCTTGCTCTAACATGCTTTGTCCTCAGGTATAATTAAACCTCCTTACCTCCAGGTATGACCGCACAAGCCAAGGATGCTTTGGGACCCATGGGTAGTATCCTGCTCCTGGCCACACGTGTATCAGCTACTGAGCTCGCTGCAGCTACAGCCCGACAGCTTAAACCACCACCAGTTTCATCTTCCCTTGTTAATAGCCTTGCCCATGAGACCAGGGGACATCCGGGCAGCTGCAGTGCTCTGTGTTTAGATGCCGACCCAAGGGAAAGGCAGGAAGGCGGCAGGATTTGGAAACTCTTTTTGCCCAGGACATCCCCAACCTGCCCAGCTGAGGCAAACAGTGGTTGTGAACGAGGCTGTGCTTGTTCTGCTCTGAAAGTAAAACCTGGTTGCGGGTGGCCGCATGTCCCTTAGCCACAAAATCACTGTGAGCGGCTGCGATGCAGCTCGAGGGGTGGAGCAGCATCCCCCGCCCTGCTCTGGGAGCATCACCACCTGAGAGCCCTCATCCTGGGGGATGCTGAGAGCAGGGAGCCCCGAGCCACGGCAGGGGTTGACTCAGACCATCGGCTTCCTTGCAGCTTGTTCGAGAGCGGCATTAACTGGGGCCGGGTGATCGCGCTGCTGGGCTTTGGCTACCGCATGGCCATCCACGTCTACCAGCAAGGCAGGACCGGCTTCCTGCGCTGGATCGCCCGCTGCGTCGTGGAGTTCATGCTCCGGAACCGCATCGCCCGGTGGATCGCCCAGCAGGGAGGATGGGTGAGGATGGGGCCGGTGGGATTCATGGGGAAGGTGGGGGACCACGGGGTGACCCCGGTGGGTCTAACGTGCTCTGGTTATGCTCTGTTTCCCCTTAGGCGGCTGCACTCGATCTGGACAACGTTTACATGAAGTACATGCTGGTGGTGGTGGCCCTGGTCATGGTGGGACATTTAGTGGTACGACGCTTCTTCAAGCCCTAACCGAGGTGGTGGCAGAGGCTGGGGGGGGGGTCTGGCCAAGCTCTCTCAAATCTCTGCTCTTCATTGATCTTCCTCAAGAGAGGGGGGATTTGAGGAACCTCCAAGAGAGAGCAGCTTGGACCTGAGACCCACCACAGGGCCCAGGGTCTCTGCCATCCATGCAGACACCACCAGGAACTATGGAGAGAAGCGGAGGGAGGGAGGGAGGGAAGGTTCAACTCTGTTGCCTGTTGCGTGCCTCACTCAGCTGCTGTGGACAGAGCATCGCTGCTGCGCTCCCCGCGTGGGGCAGGGAGGCAGAGCCGGCTCCTCTGGAGACAGGAGTGTGGAGGAGCAAAGGTGTTGTGGGGATGCCCACACGTGGGCCCCGTCTGCTCCTTGGGGCAGGCGTGGAGCTCCCCGTTTGCTGATGGCTCTCCTCAAGCCCATGCCTTTGAAGAGGGGTTGCAGCCTTGGGTGCTGCAGTTGCTGTCTGTAGAGGCACCGGAGGGGCAAGCCAGCATGAGCACATGTGGGGCTTGCTTTCGTCTTCCCTCTGTTCCTGAGCCCAACTACTTGAGCCTTCCCTTTCAACAAGCATCCCTACCCCTTTTAAAGGACCGCACTGCCTGCTCTGACAATCCACGGCAGCGCTGGCGGGCAGGATTCCCCTTCCAACGCCTGACCCTGGAGACCTGCTGCTCTCCCATGGCTGATGTGGGTGCTGGGTGCTCAGAGCTGGGGAGCACCAGCAGGTTTCCAAACACTAAAGGCCTTGGGGCGGCTGATGGTTGGTGCGGGCAGGCTGCCTGCCCTCCCTGCCCTTCTGCTTCCACTCAGTAGCTTCAGATGCTGGCAGATGAGCAGCCCAACTGTGACCATTTGGTCTCCCTTGTTCCCAATGGGAGCCCTGGAGTTGTATCTCCCCCTACAGCAGCTCTTTGCCTCCTGAGCTCAGCTGGGCAGGATGGTGCAGACGTGCTGCGGTTGAGCCCAGGGCTGTGGTGCTTTAGAGCTGCTTCTTCTGGGCACAGCATCTTTGGGAAGTGCCTTGACCTTGTTCTGTTCATGACTAATGGTTAAACATGACTTTGGGGGAGTGGGGCAGGAGCAGGACCCACTCTCGCACCTCAAACCTTTCTGACTTTTACAAACTATGGAGAGTACCTCAGCATGGTTTAGCTCTGTTCTTTTTACCAGGTGACTCTAAGGCTTGAAACTGTGATGGCCCCTTCTGAGCCAAACTCACCCCTCCATCTCCTAGAGCGAGTCAGCAGCTGGGGAGGGAGACGGAGGGACTGGAGCTAGGAGGTGAGCAGTGGTCCCGTACCCAGGCTCCTCTCCCAGTGCAGTCAGAGCCCCAGAGACTGGGCACACCGAGAGAGCCCAAGGGGGTCAGATCTTGAGAGCGGCCCATCTGCCACATAGGAAAGGCACTCCTGGCAGACAGCTGCCTAACCTGCTCCTAACCCCCCCTGCATTGCCTCCCCACCACTTCCTACCTTAACCTTTAGGTGAGGTTTCCCCTCCACGCCTTGCTGCAGTTGAAGCTTGTTACTACACATCCTGTCCAAGCACAGAGACAGGGCCCCTTGCATCCCTTCTTGCTGCTGCAGAGCCTTAGCAGAACCAGCCATAACATTATAACACTTACATCCCTCGTGTTCCTGCCTCCCTTCACAGAACAGGGAACTTCTGAGCCTGTTTCCATATCAGGGTCTTTCTGTGCTTGTCATTTTGACCCTGTTTCTGCATTATCCCTTTCCCTGGGCTGTGCTTCATAGAAAGGCATTAAAATACTTGCTATAATATTCCTTTTCTATAGAGCTCTCTTTTGGTTGATTCTTCACCCGTGCTGAGCAGCACAGATCTCCACTGGTCTGTCCATGCTGGTTTGTGGCCGCGCTGACTCCCTTGGAGCATCACTGTCCCCTTCGCCTTCATCCACACACGACTTCATTTACCCCTTGTTCACCCACCTCGAGAGTCCTCAACCCTCTTCTCTGGTAGGAGCCAAAGTAACCAAGTGCTCTCAGCTGCAGCTCCCCATCCCCGCTCCTTCCCTTCTCTTCTGGGGGGAAAACACCACCAGATGGAGCCTTTTTGCCACGATGAAAGCCAACTTCTTGCTGTTGGTTTCCCTTTCTCTTCATCAGCCCCATTACTGACAGTCCTGGCCTCTAGGCTGGTTCTCTGGTCCGTTGTGCCTCCAGCAGGACTCCTTCAGAGGACAGCAACCAGCACATCAGCTTCCATTCACTACTTCACCCTCCCAGAACTCTAACGGGCTGGAGAGAACTTGTGCTTGCACACAGAGCCGTGCTGCTTCGAATTGATTCTCATCTTCCACATTAAAGTGTTTCACTGCAAGCCCCATTCAGCTGCGAGGCCAGCAGACTTTACAGAACGTTTGTCGGCTTTATAGTAGGTGCTGGAGCCTTAGTCGAGTCTGTGGCACCAGGACAGAGAATCGAACCTTTAAAACAGGTGCTGTAGCAAAGGGAAGTTCCCATTTGATCCGTTTTCTCAGGGAGGATTGTCTCAGGATCTCAGTCTATTGCCTCCCTCTGCTCTCGCCTCTCCCAGCCCTCCTGGCACTGCTTACAGCAGGGTGGGCTAAAGCAGACCCAGATGAGAGGCCTTGGCCCTCCCCAGGAGCCGATGCTCCAGAGCCACAGCAGGCATCTACCTCGAAGCCCCACTCAGCAGGTAGCACCGTGTCTGCGTGCAGAAGGCTTCTGCTGTGGGCCAGGAGCAGTGCTTCGTTATCTAGCAGCAAGAGCTCTAGATAAAACTACATCCTTAGGGTAACCCCAGCCTCCCCTTACAGGGCTGAATCAGCCACTTTATTCTGCAGGGATAAAGCCCTGATTGACTGCGATATTCTTCACAAGTGTGAACTTTTTAACCACCAACCCAGCCCCGTGTCATGTGGGATGCAGGGACAGCATCCTCCAGCCTAGTGACTGCCCCAGGGCTTTGGCTTTTGCCCTGGTGAGCAAGGGAAATGGGACTGGGAAGCCCTCAAGGGGAAAAACCAAGGTGAAGGCGAGGAAGAGGCTCTGCCCTGGCTGTTTAGCAGGAGGGGATTGCTCAGTGCATCACTTGGTTTCACACAGCCCCTTCCCCAGCTCCTTTCTCCATCCCTCCAGGAAGCCCCAGCACTGGAGGAAGGGGATGGGGTGTGTGATGGAGCAATAGAGCTTTGCACTGACTGTGGAGGGGAGGGACTGGAAAACACCTTTTCTTTCCAGGAGGAGGACAGGAGGAGTTGTCCCAGTAGCAGCAGAGAGATGGGGAACACTCGGTCTGCAGGCCAGCCTTTCCCCAGTGCAGGGCATCTCTAAATGGCAGGCAAAGAGGCTGTGAGGAACATGTGGGTTGCTTTAAAATAAAACCATTTCTCTCACAACCGTTCTGTTTTAAATGATGTAATATATATACATGTGAAAATAAAAATGGTACCTGCAGTACAAACCTGGCTGCGCCGAGGGCTTTCTTCCAGAGGCTGTGCTCCTTTGCAGGGTGCTCTGGGTGCATTACAGATCCCCCTGTGCAAGCTTGCACAAGCTATTTGGCCTCAGTTGCCCATTAGCTGAGGGATACCAGCCCTTCCTACACTTCCTCTAGCACGAAGAGCTAGACAGGGAGAGAAATGAGCTGCTGCAGCTTGTTTTGCCATCCCTGACAAACAGGGGATGCGTTACAGCAGCTGCTGCAGAGATGAAGAAGAGACTCTGCAGTGATCTGTGGCCGGATCAACCTGCCAGGAGTTAAGGATCTTATCTGTGATGTGTCCACACCTCCCTAACGGGAAACAATGAGGACAGGAAACTGCAAAGGGGAAATCCATTACAGGAGTACAAGAGGGCTCTCAGGTGCCATAAAACACTCCAGCAAATGAAAGGGAAACTCATGTCCTCCATCAGAGAAGCCCAACACGTCCAAGGCTGTGCTGGGGTGACAGCAACAGCTCCCGCTGGCTGACAGCATCGCCAACACAGGGAGGTGGGAACCTGGGGCTCCTGCAGCAGCCGCTGCCCTGAGCTGCCTGTCCCAAACCAAGCCCAGATGCTCCTCAGGCCCTGCTGCTTCCAGCAGCTCCCTTGTCACACACCAAGGCAGGGCCTGAGCTGGCCCCACACTGCCCTTCTCTCTTGCACTGCTCTGCTTTGCTCAGGGCCAAACCTCGCTGCTCCCCTGATGGCTCACCCCTTGCAGGACCAGTCCGGACCCCAGCTCTGCTCCTAGCGGCACCAGTGAAGCTCCAGCAGTGGCTGCAATGGGTGGAAAGGCAGTGATGGGAGGGGCAGGATGCTTTAACACCGCGGGTAGGCTGTGCCCTCTTAATGAGCACACTCCCTATAATGAGCACTGGCACAGCCTATGAGCTAATGATGCCCCAGTCATCACCTGCAGCTGCCTCTGCTGGTACCTTCCCCTTTCCAGCCTGGCTGCTGGGATGGCTGGGACCAGAAGGGCTTGAATACTGCAGAATTAGCCCTGGGGAATGTGTTTGGGAGTGTTTGCTGGAGAAGGGGAGGAGCTGGAGGCTCTGGTTATAAATTGCTGTAGAAAGAGGGGCTCAGGCTTTCCACACCATCAGCCAGTAGCAGATTAAGCATTGGAATCTACATCAATATTTACCCTCCAGCTCTGGTCTCTATAAACAGCCGTGTGTCACAGCTGCCACTTGGTGCTTGGGATCACTGCAGTGGGATTCCAGCAAGGCAGGAGTGCTTCCTGCACACAGGCACGAGCTGCTGAGGCTCTGTCCCTGCCTCTCTGTGCAAGGAGAGGTTAAACCTTAACACAAGGCAAACGTCCCTAATGACAGCACCGGCTGCTCCTGTAATCCACTTTGTGTCCTGCCCCAAAACCACACCAAGCTCCTAATTAAAGTACCAAGAGAATTATTAAGGCCACAACAGTATTGAAGGATTTGCCTTTGGCCATTCAAATAGAACCAACCCTAAAGCAGAACCCAAGATGCATCAGCGATCTAGGTCTAGATCTGGTATTGGAGACAAGGACCTGGGTCAGGCTTGGCAGCACCCTGAGTTTTGTGGAAGTAAAGGTTTTCCAGCTGATTTCCAGGGTGTGAAATGAGAGTGGGCAGGAAGCAGCTGGGAAATCCCACTTGTGTTCATCATCCTCATCCTTAAAACAAAAGCCCTCTGCTCTGGGCTCGTTCCCTTCCCTCAGCATGTGCTGGAGCATCCTCAGCCTCTGGCTGGGATTCAGGGGCACGCTCCTCCCAAGGGATCCATTCATCTCACACAGCATTTCTACCACTGATAGCGGGGACTGCACGCAGGACCCGGCTGCACTGACACAATGAATTGAAGGAAACGGACTTTGCTCTTGCAGTGAAAGGGGAACACGTGCAGCAGTAACAACCCAACGTTGCCGTGACCTGGCACCAGCAGAAGGGCCTTGGGCAGTGCTGTGAGAGCAGCTCGCAGCAAACACTTCACTGCACCAGCATTCCTTTCCACCCTGTGCATCCGCAGCCAGGGATGCTGAATCTTCTCCAATTCATTCCTTATTCCCAGCTCTCCCTGACTTTCCATGAGTTGTGGTGGACAAAGTCAAGAGAAGACAACCCCAAAAGCATGCCTATCCATTCACCCATGGGGTGAGATGAGCTGGTTCCAGCACACAGGACTCTTCTGGCTCTGCTTCCCTGCTCATACAGCTTTCTGGACCAAAGCTGGAGCCTGTCCAGATATCAAGAGCTCTGGCAAAGCGATTTCATGTCTGCACTCAATATAGCATTTAGACATACCCTTATCCTCAGGTGGCTGTGGGGAATACTGCAGTAATTCAATGCCCTTGGCTGGAGCTCTGTTGTAAAGGAGGAACCTCTTGTATTAAAGTCAGAAGACCTGATTCAGCACAATGCAAGCGATAAATCCTGTTTTCTACTTACACGGGTCCACGAAGGAGACCAAACCATAACTCTGTCTTTATACAAGTTGTATTCCTAACTCAGAGCTCCCTCTCTGAAGAAGAGCCCTCACACTTGCTTGAACCATGTCTCTGCCCATCAGCTTGGTCACCAACACAGCCAAGGGAAGTGCCTTGGCATTTACCATGTGCTGATTGTGCTCACCTACGGGATTTACACACTCATTTGGGTGGTTTGGTTCTACTTTGAAGACTGAAACTGGACAAGCTCTATATGGCTCAGATGAGAGCTCTCTGAGAGCAGCACAAGGTGCTTCACAGCCCTCTTTTCCTTGTGATCCTGCAAAAAGCTGGACAATGACAATGCAGGAGGTGACCACGGCTCACCTGCACTGCCTTAAGACCAGAGCAATCCAACCACCCAGGCACCAAGCAGCAGGGCTTTGCCAAGGCAGGAGGGTAGCTTGCTAAGCAATGAGTCAGTTTTAGCAGCTGGCACATGTGAGGGAAAGGCAGACCCACAAACACTGGCACTTTATGGCTTCTTCAGACTTCAGAGCAATTCATAGATGCTCATTTTATTCTCCAGCAGTGTTGTTCCTGCTGCATCCCCATCTTTGCAGATGTTGCCAGGGGAAAATGCAGCCGAGCATCATCCCCAGCAGAAGCATGGCGCTCCATCCCTTCCGGACCATGGAGCTGGCAGCTCCTCCGTGGCTGGATGGAGAGCACAGTCCTGCAGGAGCCTCCGCTGTGGCAAGGCTGTGTGACCACCACTGCCAAGGGCGCTGCAAGAAGCACATTCACTTTCCTCACACATACTCTACACCTGGGGAAGAACACAGCAAAAGGACAGGCGTGTGATGACTCACAAACACCAGACTGGGGTTCTAAATCAGAA